GTACCGGGAAGAATAATCGTTTCAATGTATAGAAATTTAATCAAAAGTCTCCAAAAGAAAATATGTAAAAGTCCCAGACCAAAAACGACTACATCGAATTGAATACGTTTCATATGTCAAAGATGTCTGTGCAAGAGCGACGGTTCTTCAACCTACTTGTCCGAGAAATAATTCTACCTATACTAAGCTTAAATTTGTGTTTTTTTTTCACGCCTTGCAACTGTTTTTAAACTGTTTTTGTTCCAATAAAAATTGCAGTTATTTTTGTTTTTTTTTGTCGACAAACAACTTCTTTCTGCAATTCCAAACAAATCTGCTCCAATTTTCTTGCAAATAGGATTTTACTTTTAAAAAAAGGGGACTGCAGTGCAAAAAACCTCTCCACGCCCATAACACAAAAACTGTCTGTATGTACCGCTCTAGTGGTAATACAAGAAAACAAAAAACCCGATCTATTTTCCGTGCTTCTGCGGATTGATACTAGAAACAACCCAGTTTATTCGACACCTGCGTTGGAGAAAGGAGGTTGCTTATAACCCAACTTTTAGAAGTACAGATCAGAGATCATAGAAGTTAATGTTTGCGATCTGCGTTTTGGCACGTAACCCAGTTTTTTTTTTCATTGTTGTGCAGCAACCAGCAAAAATTTAACAAAATTAATTTCAAACTGACAGCCACACGCATGTAAGCTAAGCCTTTGTGGAAGTTCTTAATGTGCAAAGGTCTGGCCTATAAGCATGACTTACGTGCATCTAGTATAATTGGATTCTAGCTATTTAAATTGGATTAACCAAATGACTGATGCGCATAGTCGAGCGATTGGTGCCAGTGATGCGAATGAACAGCGAATACTTGGCGATCCGATTATACTTTGTGACAACTTTGCCGGAACTAAATAATTTATCTCATTAGGGAATGACTTAAGCTGAGACAGGCTTACAAAGTTCTGTTCACCAAGGTTCAACTCTCACAGGTTGTCAATTTCCAAAGTTTTCCACAGGAAATGTTTATGGTATGACAATCATCTCAACTATGTACTACCGCCCGTTTGTATTTTACAAATGAGTTCAGTCTCTCCCATTTTTTTAATGAAAAAGTTTTGTCTGGCAAAACATCTCGACAACGAAGTTTGACAATTTTTCCAGAAAATAGTCAACATAACACGAAGTTTTTTGAGTCTTATCTTATCTTTAGTTCCTATGCGCGGTAATTTTTAAACCAATGAAATTGCATGCGTCAACTAACTAAAGTATTCACCTAATTGCCTATTTCAAAATTTATTTTTTTCTCAGAATCGTCTTACTTTGATACATAATAATTGCATTGAAGCAAAAAAGAAAAACCTGCTAAAATTGTTTCTATCACTTTGGAAAGATAGACTAGAAACAGATATGTTTTTCCTATCGATGATGATAAAATTGAAGAAAAAGCAGTTGTGCAAAATTTTCCATCAAAAAACAAAAGTTATTGTAACAACTGGAAAGATTACATAAATCTAACCAAATTGCTCAATTCAGTAACAGATTTTTTTGAACACGACAATAATTGAAAAAAAACTCTTTTGCAGTTTTTTTTTGAATTTGATCAAATAACTTTGTGCGTCTTGCACAGCATTCGGCTATCTTTTTTTTGGTTCATTAATTTCAATTGTAATGGTTTAAAATAGAACAAAACAGCTAAACGTTATACACATCATCAAAATTGACTTCAAAACTAAAAAAAATACCTAGATAAAAACATAGCTTTTTGACTGTAAACAACACATTTTTTGAAGATACATATTTATACGAATATGTACGGCTGAAGTGTTC